TCGTCTTCATGTCGTCTTCATGTCGTCTTCATGTCGTCTTCACGTCGTCTTCATGTCGTCTTCACGTCACAGATGAAGAAACGTTCGTCTCCAGTGTTCAGGCCTTTTAGATCACGACCCTCTGATTTCAACTCATCTGAACATCTGGATCTTCATGGAGCTGACGGAGAAAAAAAAAGATTCACAAGCTCCTGAAGAAAATATCCACGACGTCAGGTAGATTTTTGTATCTTTGAGGTTTTGTATCTTAGCATGTTTTTGTGTGAATGAATGAATGAGACTCACCTCACTCTTTTCTTCTTCTGTCGTTCCTTCAGTCTCTTCTTCCTTGTGTGCTTGCTCAGATCTTTTCTCCGGAGCTTCCTTCTCTTCTCGTCCTGAAGAAGATCTGTCTCCCTCGTCTCTTCCCATCCGTCCATTTACTCGCCCCTTCTTCTCTTCGTCTTCTTCTTCTCTGGTCTTTGACTGATCGTCTCGGTGGGATTGTGTTTCACATGTTGAAGCATCTGTTTTATCATTTGTCTTAAAAACGTCTTCTCCTGCTGTTGTTTTCTCTTCTACGTCATTAGCGACTCCAGCGTCGTCTCCGCTGCTGGACTCCCTGTGGCGGCGGGATGGAGGGCGTCGCCGAATGGAGTGACGAGCTCGGCTCTGGACAAATCAGGGTAGAGAAAGTCAGTTATTAGAAAGTTACTATTACTTGGTTATTCACTGTGATAAACAAATGTGTCTTTGTGGCGTTGTGTGTCTTTGTGGCGTTGTGTGTCTTTGTGGCGTTGTGTGTCTTTGTGGCGTTGTGTTTCTTTGTGGTCGTGTAGTGTGTCTTTTAAATCAGACCTTGTTGATACTCGACAGGATGGACCCCTCCTCCACTATGGGAGGGGCCTCAAAGGAGACAGGCCCCTCCTCCTCAGTTACTGGTGAAGAGGCGACTGGGCAGGTGGGAGTCGCAGTGGAGGAGGTGGTTAGCGTGGTTACTGGGGCGGAGCCGGGGGAGGGAAGGGGGAAGGCGGGAGGCAGCAGCCTGAAGGCGGGGCTCTTTGGTGACGTCAGCTGGGCCGAGGGAGAGAGAGCGAGGGAGGCCTACGCAGAGAGAGAGAGAGAGGCAGACGTCAGAGTGCATCTCTCTGTACACAGCAGCAGGGGGCAGCACTACTCACCTGGAGCTTCTCGATCAGAGCAGAGTTCCTCTTGGTTTTGGCGGGAAGAGGTGAGGTGACACCTGGAGGCTGCACACACACATACACACACATACACACACACACACACACACACACACAGACAAAGGAAACAAGTTTGGATGTTTCATATTGTTTTGTTGTTTCTTTCTGATTTTGATTTAATTCAGACCCCCCCCCCCCTCACCTCCTCGTCGCCTCCGTGTGTTTTCGGCAGCTGTAGTGAACGAGGAGGTCGACGTCTCACCGGCTTCTCCTGGTGAGAAATAATAAAACTGTGGCTGTGATATGTTAAAGGGTCGATCCTGAGTTTGTGTCTGAACTGACGTTGAACTCACCGTGTCTTTCACAGCGCCATCATGTGGAGGAGCTGAGCCTCTGAACCTTCCTGCGAGTTCAGCCACCGAGGGCTGTGTCGTAGCCTCCTCCTGAGAGAGAGAGAGAGAGAGGTGAATACCAACAACACTTAAGTTTCATGATCGATCAGACAGAAAATACACAGTTACCATGGCAACTCCAGTACTACAACTACTGTAAAAGGCTCCGTCCACAACTATATGAGACTTTTGTGGACGTTGCTGGTCTTGTTTTAGTTTGAAAATGGTTCTGTAGTAAAAACAATTGATGCACACGCCCACGTTCTCTTCTGATTGGTTCTCATCAGTCACGTGACTCGACTACCAGCAGTGAACACAGAGCGTCGCTAACACTTCCTGTCAGGAACAGTTCCACCTCGTTGTCGCTCAGAGAAAAGAAATCTCTGCTCTGACTTTTCACCATCACTGCTCCTTCAGAGGAGTTCCTGTTGCTGAGCAACCAACTGCAGAGGAGACACTCTACTTCCTGTTTACATCACATGACCAGTGTAGGTGAATAGTCATGTGACGTGTGTGAGTTTGGACAAAGTTGGTTTTAGTTTTAAAATGAAAATGTTTGGACGCAGCCTGAACCGACAGTCACGACTGGTCTGACACACGAGACGTCATCACAGACAGTGTGGGCGGGGTTTGCTGCTCTGTAGGAGGGTGGGGCCTTTTATATATCAGTGTCAAGGGGCCCGTTGTTTCCTAGTGTCCATCATGACGTGTAGAATATGTCAATCAAATATATTAAATATTAAGCTACAGCCTGAACATGCTGTTCAAACAGTGTTGTTGTTGTATGGTTGGAGCGCCCCCGTGTGGCAGGTAATTCCATGTGTGTGCGTGTGTGTGTGAGTGTGTGTGAGTGTGAGTGTGTGTGTGAGTGTGTGTGTGTGAGTGTGTGTGAGATCACATCATCGTCTGATGGGTCAGAGAGCGACAGTGTTGACTGGAGTCATAGCAACAAGTAACAATATCATTCTTCAAGACCACGCCCACTGTAATACTACAACTATTAATCCCACCCACAGACTGTAAATAAAGATGGACGACATGACGGCTCCGTATAGTGAAGCCAAATCCTCCTGATCGCCACCTGCTGGCCGGCTGCAGTGAAGGTAATAAACTCTACCACCAACAAACTTATATACATCATCCCTCACTGGCTTCATCCGTCCAAACACATGAGGGCAGAGGGAGACACACACACACACACACATAGAACACACACACACACACAATAACAGCTGTTGACGTGAGGTTGATCCATGTCTATTTCAGCTGAAGGTCTCACATTGCTGACATTCAACAGATAATGAAATCACATCGCTGAACACACACACACACACACACAGAACACACACACACACACAGGACACACACACAGGACACACACACAGGACACACACACAGAACACACACACAGAACACACACACCCAAATATTGTTTTTAGTCATCAAAAGGCTAAAGGCAGCAAGTAATGAAAAAACCGTTAAACCGCTTCCTCTTTCTCTCTCTGTGTGTGTGTGTGTGTGTGTGTGTGTGTGTGTGTGTGTGTGTGTGTGTGTGTGTGTGTGTGTGTGTGTGTGTGTGTGTGTGAGTGAGTGAGTGAGTGAGTGAGTGAGTGAGT